CAAAGCTGAGCAGATAACTGGGAGGTTTTAAATAAAATGGCTGCCCACGGTTACACAAGCACTTAGAAACAGCACCGCAACAAAAAGTAAATAAATAAAAAGTAAAGTCCAAACGGTAAAACCACAACAGCTTTTTTTTTTGCTGCGGATTTTCCACCCACAATAACATCCACCCACACACAGCACCGCGACAAAAATTAAATAAATAAAAAGTGATGTCCAAACAGTAAGACCACAACGGCTTTTTTATTTTTATTTTAATTTTTTTTTAACACAACAGTTGAAGCCGCAACGGACAGTCYACCCATCATCACACCCAGAGTGAGGGACACACTGCCATGGAGACACACATACACTTGAGTGGAACCAAACAGATATGTACCAATTAGTGTGAGACTTGACAATGGAGAAGGGGCTGATTTGTGTCATGTGCAGGTGTGACAGATTGCATGCAAACATATAGGGTGTTGACATGGAATATATGTTTATATTTATCAACCAACACAATCAGATTCAACATAACCAGGAGGTATAGTTCTTTATGAACGATGGAAAGGAATACTTGTTGCATTTTTTTAAAAGTAAGGAGTAGAAAATACAGATAATAGCATGAAAATTTAAAGAGTAGACGTAACTAGACAAAAGTTTTTATTAAGTGTGCAATGAAATGCACTATGCCATTGCCTGAAGCCTGTTCTTAAATCTTATTTGTACAAATAGCACATTAACAAACAACTGTCATTGGCCAGAGTGTTACACATAAAGCAATAAACAGTAGAAATATAACTCTGACCATGGAAAAAATAAATAAAACATGTGTGGTTCTGCCACACGTCATTCTCACTATTACTTTTATGGGGATTTTTTGTAAGCTGTAAGTGAGTAATTATATTTTAAAAAATGGTCAAACTCAGGAATGGTAAAACGAATCCCAGTTGTCCCACTAATAAGCTGGTCGTGTTAGAAATAAAGTTGTTTGTGTGCTAAATGGAGTGTAACTATTTCATGGAAAAAAAAAACTAGAATTGTTGCTTCATACAAACTTTGAAGGACATTTGTAATTAGTTTGCATTCCAATGTTAGAAAGCCTGCAATATTTTCAGTTATTTTGTGTGTACTTGTGTTTAGGGTGCTGTTGGGGCAGATGGGCCTATAGGTGTTCCAGGAAAGAAGGGTCTTCCTGGAATCCGAGGAGAGAATGGAGCTCTGGGACGTCAGGGCGAAAGTGGACCTCCTGGTCCACAAGGCACTCCTGGAGAGAAAGGGGAATCAGGAGAGGACGGTCCTCCGGTAAGACAAAAAGAAACACTGTTTTTCTCACATGTTTCAGTGGTAATGTGCTCTTCTGCTTTCTCCATCAGGGGCCTGATGGGCCTCCAGGACCAGCTGGCACCTCAGGACAGCGAGGAATTGTGGGTCAGCCTGGAGTCAGAGGAGAAAGGGGCTTGATGGGACTCTCTGGGCCCGCTGTAAGTACATGATGTTTCTGCATCTTCTAACAGTGTTGGATTTTCTGCTTGACTTAGATGTTTGCATTCATTTGTTCCCCAGGGTCCACCAGGAAAAACAGGAACGACTGGAGCTCAAGGATCCAAAGGTCCAGCTGGTGTGATCGGTTTACCGGGACCCACTGGACCAAGAGGAGACGCTGGCCCTGAGGTTTGTCCTGCTTCTTTTGTAAAAAAAAAAATGCACATATAAACTACAGATGTTATGAGCTTTTCTTGAGTTTTATGTTCTTGTACCTGCACATGATTTTATGTCACAAATTAGTTTTTTGTTGTTGCACAAGTCATTGTTTCATGTCATTTTCAGGGTGTTGCTGGAGCAGAGGGGTCCCCTGGTAAAGATGGTCTTGTAGGAGAAAGGGTGAGAAAAAAACTTTTGCTCCTGGGTTTGTGTTCTGCCAGACGGGTTCAGGCTACCAAGCAGGTTTAGCAAAGCTGGGCTTTGTCTAAACCGGATCCACACTGCATAAAACCCTCAGAGATAGCAGGTAGTTTGGTAGTAATACATGAAAATATCGAATACATTTTTTGACTCTTCATATATACAAAACCACAGATGGGAAGAAAAAGAAAAACTACAATAAAAATAGAAATAGATGAAATGTTTAAAAAAATGTAATTAAATAAGCTTGATTTTCACAAACTATTGGATAGATTTTAATAAAACTTTTAGGAAGTAATCATTGGAGTTACATCTCTACTGCTTGACTTTTGGAGTGAACCTCGTTAAAGATGTCCACTACAGGCAAATCCGTCCATTCACTATCTTTACTTCTATTTTTCTGGGTTGCTGGTTCCCACGTCCAGCAATCACTGTGCAGGAGGGGGTGGGCTATAAGGTGGACAGGTCACTTGTCCATTACAGGGTCATATAGAGACAACCATTTACACTCTCAAGCACACCTAGAGACAATTTTAGAGTTACCAATTACCCTAACATTCATGTTTTTGGTCTGTGGGAGGAAACCAGAGTAGTCGAAGAAAACCCACACGTGCACAGAGAGAACATGCAAATTATACCCAGAAAGTTCCTGGGCCAGGATTCAGTCTGGCATTGTACCTGTTGACTGTGCCACCATGCTACCCCTCATAACCAAAGGATATTTGTAAATACAAAAAGAAAAAATACCTGTCAGTTTTACAGATATTGAGCTTAAATTTGGTGTGGTACTACCTGAGTGCAATCCCAAACACATACACTTACACTCCAACACAAACACATCTTTCATGAGGTCATGCCTAACATCAGAACAAGGTCTGAACAAAATGGCTGAAAATTTGAACCTTTTCATCATAAAGTACACTGAATTTAACACTCTTGAAAAAGAAGTGGCAATATGCATGCAATTAGTCATAACATTACAAGTTTCTGTCAGCTATTAACTTTTTTAGCACATAATCAAAGTTTAATAAAGCGAGGATCTGGATAAAGTGAGAGTGATGTAGAAAAATGGTAGAAACTGCTCGATTGTTGTTTGATATTTCTAATCTCGATGTTAGATTGATGTTTTCTCTGCATCTCCTCCCACTTGGTTCTATTCTCAGGAAGCATGGTATTTCATTTCATTGTTACGCAGACGACAGCCGTGTCCCTCTCAAAAAGTCTAATTCATTTGCAATAGACTCACTTCTTATGTGTCTTGAGAACCTGAAGGCCTGGATGGCACAACATTTTTTGAGTTTTATTTAGAGATGTGACGTTCACGAACGATCCGAATCTTTTGAACGGCTCTTTACAACGAACAATAGGAGATGAATCGCGGGCAGGAACGAGCCATTTGTAGTTTTGTTTCTTTTATTTCTCATATAATCTTTATTTTTTCATACTTGAACCGCTCCTGCTTTGCTTTTTCATGGAAAACAGGCGGAGTTGTGGAGTAAAGAAGCTCACGGTGAAACGGGGGGGATGTTTCCGTTTGACAAACACATGGTTCCACCCTTGTGACGGGATTACGTCATTACGTACGGCTACATGATGATGTAATACGTTCAAAATCGAACGGCTCTTTTGAACAGCTCTATGAAAAAAACGGCTCCTCAAGATCCGGATCTCTTCAGAGAGCCATCTCTAGTTTTAATGAAACCAAGACTGAGGTTATGGTTTTTGGAGGTACTGTTGGCCACTCCCCTGTGGATCTAGGTTCATTGACTCAGTACAACAAATTGTTAGTGAGGAATTTGGGAGTTGAAATGGATCCTGAACTTAAACATTAGGTCAGTTGTTAGAAGGAGTTTTTATCATTTGAGGCAGCTAGCCAAAATAAAACCCATTGTTCCAAGAAGACATTTTGAGACTGTGATCCATGCCTTTGTCTCCACCCGGCTGCATTACTGTAGTGCACTTTATCTGGGGGTTAGTGGATCCTCCATCGCTCGGCTGCAGAGGGTCCAACATGCTGCAGCGAGGCTTTAAACTGGCGCACGTAAATATGACCACATTTCTCCCATTTTAGCTTCACTCCACTGGTTGCCTGTGCCTTTTAGGATCCATTTTAAAATACTTTTATTTATTTTTTAATCTTTGAATGCTCTTGCCCCACCATACCTGTCTGATCTGCTGCACCCCTATAATCCCTCCCACTCCATCAGATCAGCTCATCAACTGCTCCTGACCCCGGATTACTGCATGCGTCTCCACGCTGCTCCGCTGCGCTGCGGTGCGCAGGTCGCAGCTGTTCGTTTGTGTCTCAATTTACACAGCCTCCGCTCCGGTCTGACAGACGTGCAGGAAGCAGATTGCGCGATAAATTCAGTGATAAGTGTGGAAGTCACAGCAAAAAATACTTAATTCTGTCAAAGACGAACTCCAAACACAACTGAAAACAACGATATAAAGGCTTTTGGTATCTATGTTGAAACTGTCTCGCTGTCAGCTTTCTGAAACTTCTGATTTCAAAAATTAAATCCACGTGTATCGTGTGTGTACACATATGCTTCATGCTACATGTTTCCATCTGCTTCCCAAACACAACGATACATTCTGACAGCATTTGTGTAGAAATATATCTGTATATTTATTAATATAGCTGCAATTTCGACATTATTCTGATAAATTATCCAGCCTAAAAGTCTCTTATTTTGAAAACACGGATGTTATTCTCATTTCTTTTCCTGTTGGTGCGACGTAATCTTTAAAATTTGACTCTGGCGCTGCTCCGGTGTCCGGCAAAAATAGGATCTGTTCTAATTTTGACGGATCGCCGTCCGCTCACCGCCCCAGTGTAAACACTATCATTGATTATAATGGGTGCGTATTTGCTGCGGAGGTCGGACCAGAGCGGAGCGGAGCCGGAATGCATGTAGTGTAAATAAGGGGTGAGGGTCCCTAAAACCAGATCTAAACTCAAGGGGGATCGATCTTTTGCTGCAGCAGCTCCAAAACTTTGGAATGAGCTACCTCTTCAACTTCACTGGCTGTTTTTATAACTCGTCTTAAAACCCACTTGTTTACTTTGGCTTTTGACACTGTGTGAGGGGTTGTTTGTTCATTTGTACTAGATTTTAATTTTTTGTAGAAATATTTTGTTTATGTTCTAGATTTTAAATTAGGTTTTAGGCATTTTATTGTTTTATATTCCTTGTTTTTACTTTGTTTTTTATTGCCTGCTTTTTTTCTGTTGTTTTATTCCTATTTTAATTGTGATTCAGTTTGTTTTGTGTATGAGCTGTGTTGGAATGCTGGTTCTGTACGGCACTTTGGTCTACTATGGTGCAAAAAGTGCTTTACAAATAAAGTTGGGTTGGGTTTTCAAAAGCCTACTGTAGTATTAAGACTGATCCACCAAATAAAAAAATAAAATAAAAAAAACATTGAAATCTCTGTAAAATATCTTGCGTCAACAGGGCCTACTAGTATGTTTGAATAATGCCTAAATGCGGTGCTTTGACATACAGTATGTTATTTGAGATTTCCAAATTCTATATCAGTCAGTAACTTCACAATCAGTTACAATATTAGGCATCAGCTTTCAGTATGTTTGTCTGATGATTTATAAATCTTGTTTCAATCTACATGGATTATGAGGAAAATGGCAGTTTAATGAGGTCACCTAAAACCACTTTAACTCAACACAGATTTTAATTTTGCTTTATATTGCATTCCACTGTGTACTGAGTGATTTAGTTTATTAATGTGAACAAATCACTTTTTTGTGTTTGTAGGGCGATAAAGGAAACCCAGGTCCAGAGGGTCTACCTGGTGCTTCTGGGTCTCCAGGTAATGAAGGCCCAGTGGGATTTACTGGCGGTCCTGGGCAAATGGGTGCAAATGTGAGTTGTACATCGGATTTGATTTAGTTTGGTTTTACATCTGCCAATCAATGATCAGTACCTTTAATTTTGTCTGCTTGTTTGATTTGGGGTTAGGGAGAAAGAGGTCCTCCAGGACCCCAAGGACAACCTGGCATTCGGGGGAAAGTGGTAAGATGATTTTCCACATCCCAATGGCAAACATTACTGTTTATTGTTCGTCTGTTTTGTGTTGAACTGTGATTCTGTGTTGGTTCCAAGGGTCCTCAAGGACCACAAGGAGACAAAGGAGGAGCTGGAGAGCAAGGAGAGAGGGGTCAGAAAGGTCACAGAGGCTTTACTGGACTCCAGGGTCTTCCAGGAATCACTGTAAGGAAGATATTTTATGTTTGAATGAAGATGAAGCACATTTAGAATAATGTTTGCTTGACAAAATTATAAGCCTGTGGGCTTGAAAGAAGTTCACAAAGATTTTTGCTTGTATTTGTAACACTAAATCTTTTCAGTGTCTCAAAGTCTGGGAAGCCTGAAAAACAAAGTCAGGCGACAGCTGTTTGTTTAATTATTCTATTAAAAATTAAGGAAATGACTCCATTAGCTTCCTGTACATTATGCATTTTAACTTGGGCTTGAGTCATTGCAAACAAGGGTGAAGTGTAAACAACAGAATTTACGTTTCAGTCACGCAATACGGAAATTTTAAGCACTGAATTTTATAAGTTATGTACATCAATGTTAAATGCAAAATTGTGAATTTTTCGATTCGATTGCAGAGTTTCTACGGCATTACTTGCCTTGGCAAAGGGCAGGTAGCACCTAGGGCGTTCCTAGAACCTGACCTTTGATTCTGGAATCTGATCTTTTGGGGGGCTTCGCCCCCAGTTGATCTTCTATAGGTGTATTCACACCAGCCCTGTTTTGTTTGCCTAGAAGGTTTGGTTCATTTGAGGAGGTGTGAATGTGTGATCAAACTCTGATGCTGACCAATAAAGCAAACTCTGGTCCACCTAAAAACCTAGGTCTTGGTTCGGTTCAATATGGGAATGCCAAGCGGACTGTGAGAACGCTCCAAAAGCAGGAAGCAGACTATAACGCAGGGTGTTCTGAGTATCAATAGTAAGTTATTACTATAGTAATAGTAAATATCTCATATACACCTTGCTTGGTGTCTGTATAAGGTGAACATCACTGCTGTGAAGTTGGATGCACTCCCAGGGGCGATTCTAGGATCTGACATTTACGGGGTCTAACTCAGTTTGAGGAAAAACTGGTACTGAAAACCCCCTAACTGGGATTAAACCATTTCTGTGCTCAGCTCCATGAGAGATTTATTATTAGCAAAAACCCAGGTTTGGTCTCGTTGATTTAGGGTAACCTAACAGATTAATCTCTGCTTCAGGGTGCCACAGGAGATGCAGGAGAGCGAGGAATAGTTGGACCAGCTGGACAGAGGGTAAATAAAACAACATAAACAGATTGTGTTGTATGTTTCTGTGTGATAGAGCTCCATGTTTTTACGCCTGCACAGGGACCTCCTGGTGTTGTGGGTCCTCCTGGAAAAGAGGGAAACATCGGCCACCCTGGAGCGGCGGGTGCTCCTGGAAGCAGAGGAACCAGCGGAGACATCGGAGCTCAGGTGACACAGAACAAATCATGAGGATTTCTTATATGTGTGTGGTGAGAGCTAAAGATAACGCATATTAATTTAACCTTCATCAGGGCCCTCCTGGAGAACCTGGACCACCTGGTCCTCCAGGCTCCCCTGGACCTCCTACCACAGCTGTGGAGGAGCTCTTTTCACTGGATTACGAGGGGAATGGTGATGTTCAGGAAGGTGTAGGCGTTGCAGAATACGACCACGCAGAATACGACGTTGCTGCGGATCCTCCTCCTCCTCCAGAGTTCAATGAAGATGAAGCTCTGCCCAATAAGAACATCATGCATGCTGAAACGGGCATCCGAGCCACATTGAAGACCCTCAGCGGGCACCTCCAGAACCTTCGCAGTCCAGATGGCAGCAAGATGAACCCTGCAAAAACCTGCCAGGACATCAAGCAGTGCTACCCTCAGAAAAACAGCGGTCAGAGTCCCTTTTTTATTAATTTCTCAAGTTTTTTTTTATGCATTCTGAAAATATTATTTACCATGTTACTTGGGTTTTTAATACAGGGGATTACTGGTTGGATCCCAACCAAGGAAGCGCCAAAGACGCCATCAGAGTCTTCTGCAACATGGAGACTGGTGAAACCTGCATCTCTGCCAATCCAAACAACATTCCTCGTAAAGCCTGGTGGACAAAATCTAGTCCCAGTCCCAACCAACCGCTTTGGTTTGAAGCTGATATGAATGGTGGAACCAAAGTAAGGAAAAGCTGTTTGCCCACTCAAACTTAGATTTCAGCTCTTATAAATCTTTTACTTCTTGTTTTAGTTCCTCTATGGCAACAAGGAAGAGCAGCCCAACGTGGTGGCCGTTCAGATGAAGCTGCTGCAGCTTTTATCGAAGGAGTCTCACCAGAACATCACCTACCACTGCAAGAACAGCGTGGCCTACAAAGACCAGAACGGCAGCTTGAAGAAGGCTCTGATCCTCCGAGGCGCTAACGGCCAAGAACTCAGAGCTCAGGGCAACCCCAGGACCAGATACACCGTCATCGAAGACAGCTGCTCTGTAAGTCTTTGATAAATCATCCAAATTTGATTTAAAAAATCATGTATTTCATGATATCTCAACTGGCTTTACGTTCTTTCCTCAGACATCAAATGGACAGTGGGGCAAGACGGTGATAGAGTACAGGACTAAAACTGCCACCAAGCTCCCGGTGGTGGACTTGGCACCCCTGGGCGTTGGGAAGCCTGATCAAGAGTTTGGTGTGGACATCGGCCCTGTGTGCTTTTCATAAAAACTCAGCCTGGACATTTTATAGTCCCTCCTTTTTTTAAATAAAAAAAAGCGAGTAGAATTAATATGGATGTTTCATTGCTGCCAAATACGGCTGAACATGAAAGAGATCTTTTTCGTATCTAGAAGCTCTCCACGTGAGGATGAAACAGGAAGAGGTTTAGATGAACACAACACAAACTGGCAGGGCAGCGTTTAATAAGAGTTTTGAAGCAGTGATGTTGTGAATAAAAGCGTGCAAGCCTTGAATTTTTCCAGTGTATGTACAGATAGAGGCCTAGGTGGAGCATGGGATGATCATAGAATGACTTTAACTCTTAATTTTAATGGAAAAAATGATAAAAATCAAGCTTGAACCTAAATTATTATTATTACCTTCTGTGCAGGAGGCTGTTTAGTCTTTCAACAGAAAACCTTATTGTTCCTTTTTTAAAACTGTAAATGCAACATATGACTGTAAATTGCTAAGTATTTGTTGTTTTTTTGTTGACAATAGATGTGGATTAAATGTCACTTTGAAACAACTCTGCATTTTTTGCACATTGTTTGTATTTTAAAATGAGCACATTAAATAAATCTGTTCTTGCCAGGATTGTGTGATCACAAGAGTTAACACATATTTAACCAATCAAATTTTGACCAATTTTGACCAATTCCCACATAGCCAGTGGCGCCTGCAGAATTTTTTTCAGGGGGGGGCCATGGTGAAAATTTCATGTCATTAGCACCTCTAGTAATATATTTACTGAGAAAAATGTTGACGTGTTCAATACTTATTTTACCCGCTGTATACACCACACTGCGTCTCTTGGGTTTCTCATCTGCATTCACAACAAAACAACTTGATTCTATGATAATGCTGCGTTCTAGTAGCAGTGGCGCCTGCAGAAATTTTTTTCAGTGGGGGGGCCATGGGGGGTCACTGAAAAACCAGGGGTGGCACACCAAAAGTAATATCTATAACCGAAATTTTATCATGTGGTTATAAAAATGGCAATTTGAAAACTATGCCTAAAGAAAAGCTATGGATTTGTCAACAGATGTTCAATTATAATACTGTTTTACTGATTTTATAANGGTGGCACACCAAAACTAATATCCATAACAGAAATGTTATGATGTGGTTGTAAAATTGACCGTTTAAAAACTATGGCAATATAAAACTATGGTTTTGCCAACAGATGTTGAGTTTGTAATTTTTATGGATATTATTACTGATTTTGTGACATTCAGAGACAAAAAGCAAGAATCCAAACTATCTGCACTTCCACAGCATGCATTTTCTAACTTTTCCTCTATCTTTACACATGGAGTACCATGAGTTGTCCTTACATTGTTACATATTTCAGTGGCATCACAAGTATTTGTAATGTTGTGGGGACCCACTGGCGGGGGGTCTGTGGGTCCTCCCCTATAAAATCTTGAAAGAAAATGCCATTTCCTGCTTTCTGGAGTATATTTACAAGTTGTTAAACAGACTTTTGAGAAACAACAATACATAGGAAAACACTTGATGTGACTATTCTATAAATCAAGTGGAATGAAATTGGAATGAAACAGCACTGAGTGAAATAATATTTTATGGTAAATGTTGGGGTTCAAATGAATTAAATTTTAAATGTGATGGGGAAACTTCCCTTCAAAAATGACTGCTGTGATGTTTGTCATTTTATTTAAAAATGTCAAAATAGACACTTAAAAGATTACACGCAACAAGCTTTATAAATTTTAAAGCCATCACCTCTTCTATGTGTAATAAAAGTTTTATTTGATTGTTGATGTTTACTTTTGTGAGGAAAAACTGTAATTATAAAAACCCAAAACTGGAAATACAGACAAAACAAGCACAATCACAAATTACAAGTACTGTAGTGTTATCCCAAAAATATTAAGTTATTTGCTTTTTTATGTCGTATAATAAATATGATTTTGGTCTGTGAGAGAAAACTGGAGTACCTGGAGAAAACCCACTCCTGCACAGGGAGAACATGTAAACACAGAACAGAGAGTTGATCTAGCAATCTTCTTCCTTAGAGGCAACATGTTGCTCTACCAACTGTGCCACTGTACTGCCTCATTTAATATTAATTATATAATTATTTAAATGATTTAATTAATATTTGATTAAAAATTAACCAATGAATAATACCTCCTGAGAACATCCATCTTTGTTCGAGAACATTGGTTTAGACTGGTTGTCCTTATTCAGAGGAGTTACTTTGTAATTTTATTCATTTTTTATTTTAAATAAAATATAAATTAATGTTTTTAACTCTCAATTGTTAAAAAAAACCAAAGTTTGATTTTATTCTTATGAGGTTCTATTCCTAAATAGGCAGGGGAATTGAAAAAGGAAAAACCTGGGTATTCATGAGAATAAAACTGGGTGGGTGGGGGGGGGTGGGGCAGCAAATTCTCATGCTGGCGCCCCCGCTGATGTGGTGTCAAACTGGCACTGCTGGCTGACATGGTGGCATGGCAAGTGGTTTGTGAACCAGATGTTGGCCAGCAATGATGGCTGTGTTGATGGCGCTCCAAAACTGAACCGGTTGTGTTTTGGTTCACGTGGTGCTGGCCCATGCATGGACCACCACCACATCTGGGCCAACAAAAGGTCTTTGGTCTTATCTGGGCCAGATTTTGCCACATGGGTTTGTTTCTAACCTGAATATAAAACAGTAAGAAAATATTGACCATAGGTTATTAATCAAACCATGAAAATATTCTGAATTTAACCAAGAATTGTTAAAAATGTGGAATTTTCTGTCAAGTAACATTCGATTCGGGGCTTTTAAAGTACTTAAAGTTAACAAAAAGTTTTAAAAATGCAATTCTTCATGCTAAAGTAAAACTAGCTTTTCTTGAAGGGTACAGAACACTTGGCACATCAAAAGTTTGATCTGTTGGCACACAGGATCTGTGCTGATGTCAAAGTTTTAAACAAAGATCAAATGCAGTTTGTTAGATCTCAATGTGTAGGGAATGATTCTCAGTTACCGCCATAAAAACTAACTCAATTTCTTGTCAATATCAGCTTAATTTTTGCATTTTTGGCTGTTTTCTTTTTTTTTTAAATTCGGTTAAGTCCCTATGGCTGCAGCGACCAACAGTTTTTGCCAAAGTCTGCCAATGCTCAGGATATGTGTCTTAGATGACTTTCAGCTACCACACCAAAATTTATCTCAGTATCTGTAAAGTTGATAGCCATTTTCACATTAGGGTCAAATAGCTGTACCCGATATCCTGCATCATGTTGGCTCCAGTGGATGATAAAAGTGTAGATGCATTTTTTGACATTTCTTTCTGATCATCCATGAAATCCATGAGATTATTTCTTAACAGACAACATGGTTACATGCCTTTCACAGTCAGAGGACAGAGGAGTGAAGTTTAACTTAACCTGTTTTATTACATTTGATTAATACTAAATTGATTATTTTTATTATTATTATTATTATTATTATTATTATTATTATTATTATTATTATTATTATTATTATTATTATTATTATTATTATTATTATTATTATTATTATTATTATTAAATAGTCATCACAAAATTAGAACCTGGAAAATCATTGTAGGAATTGATAAATCTTTCATTTTGACCACTAGAGGGAGACAAAGCTTAAACATTACAGTTGAGCTCCATGTGGTCTCAGATGAAGAAATTAAAACTAAACGACAGTTTGCATGTTGAAAATCAGCAAATAGTTGTTTTTAATTTTAACAAATATAGGTCATCATAAATGTTTAATTTGATTTCCCAAAATCTGTTTCACAATTAGTGTGTTTTACCTGCTGGCTGATAACTTTTACAGGTTTTCATACAGTATGTGAAACTTTTTGTACATTACCCTGAGATGTCGACGTTTGTTCTGACTTGATGCTAAATAAGTAAACTGAATTAAATTTTAATTTTATGGGTGTGTGACCAAAACAAAAGAACAATATGAAAAAAAAAAGTGAAAAAGCACGAAAAAGAAGGCGTTCTTACAGGAGGAAAAGGAGTCGAAGTTCAGGCAGCACATGTTTCTGGGTCGACCTTTGCTCTCCTCTCGTGCTGAAAGATGTGACGCTCTCACAGTTTCCTGCAGCCTGAGCCCGCGCCACATCTGTTGGGTGGTCATTTTTAGCCAGAGTTTCTATTTTCATTTCAACTCTGGAAAGTTATATCATGAAAGGTGTGGGTCATGAATTTTCATTTGCATGTTATACACAATTAGTTGCATATTCAAAGGTTTATTTGGGGGGGGGGGGGGGTAATCTTGAATATCTTGAGACAAACATTGAATTATGTGCTTCTCAATATATCTAGCTGTGACTTCAAAAGTTAATCAGTTGCACAGTATATCCAATACTTAGAACTAGCACATTTTTATAATGGTTGATGAGATATTTTGCTCACAAAAGAGCATAGGCACAGACAACAATGTTATTACTGTCTTTAAATGGTGGGTGAGAATGTGATAGCATGCTGGCAAAGTGTGCTAAAATTAAAAAGGTAAAGAGATGAAGACCAGAAAAAAAATCTAAATAATAATTGAAATTCACATAATTTTTTTGTGCCCAAATTTTTTTTAGCCAAATTTATGATGAGATGCTAAGTACCCAGTCATTTTACCTGTGGTACCAGATGAAGTGACTCAACTTTGCACTGCCTACATCTCAGAACATTACACAAGAAAAACTAAAGTAGTAAACTGTCTGATAGTTTAGGATAATACTTTTTATGTTTGATTTCATATTTTGAAATAAGTGGCTTTAATATGAAACACTAAATCAAACTTATATTTGGAATTAACCTGAACCGTTGAATAAATTTGACTTATTAATCAAGTACGGTGGGGTTGGGGGGCATTATTTTCCAGGCACATACTTCAATTCTTTACCAAAATCAAGAACCTGTTACCTTCAGTTATGAAAAATACTGCATAGATCAAGAATAAATTTGACCTTGTAATCCCAGAAGTGTCAATGTTTGTGGGGAGGGATGCTCCGTGGGGCAGGGGCTCAGCTTTAGACCTAAACCCAGGGAGGAGCTACGTACAATAGGTGGTGCTATGCACCAGTTTAGGCAGCTCCACGTGGCTTCCACAGGAGATTCAAGGATTTCTCAAACATGCATGAAAGAGTTAAAGCAAAACTCTGCTTTTGATGAGAGGATAACTTTATAACACGATAAAGCTTTAAAAAAGGCATTATAGCCCCCTCATGGAAAATAAAACAAACTGATTTATTCTTTAGGGCTTAAATTAAAAATCACGACAGTTAAAAGATGCCTGGGCTCCACAAATCAATGTTGTTATTGTTCATATTAGACGTGGACATGTGGGGCGGGTGTAGGCGCCTTCAGTCCTCCTACAGAGGCGGAAATCATTCCTTGTTGCCTGAGGAAACATATGTGATGTATTGGATTTCCCCTTGTTTGCATACGTTTGTGCATTCACATCTCTGCAAAAATAACTAACTATGCATCAATTAAACTCAACAAAGTGTGGGACGGGTCTACTTAATGTTATTTGTGAATG